CTTATTTATCTTGCAAAGCCAGTTATTTTGTGTGAGTGGTGTTTGTGCAAAACCTCTAAAGCATACATGTTTACGCATGAGTTTGGTTCAGCTGATGCTTTAGTAGGACTGCAGTACTTATTCTGTATTAACTGCTGCTTATTTTCACTACAGCCGATGGGTTTGTAAAAGGGGGGGAAAAAAGCAAGGTTCAGTTGTTTTGTTGTATCTGGTCAGCAGTGATTTTATATATTTATTTATTTTTAATCCTTTCTCTTTGCAGGAACAAGTTTGTTGAGTTCGACATGAAGCCTGTTTGTAAAAAGTGCTATGAGAAGTTTCCTCTGGAGCTCAAGAAAAGGCTCAAGAAGCTGGCAGAGTCCAAATAAGCTGCTTCAGGCCAAACAACCTGGACGTTTTTGTCTGTGATGTGTGTGGTAGTAAAATATCCAGGGGAACTACTGCTTAACAACATAAGAGCCTGGCATTTAATCGGTACATAAATATTAAAAACTTAAATCTGGGATCCATTTAAAAATAAATGTATATCCTTGTGGTCGTTACATAAATGTGCTTCATTAATGTGCTTCATTAATGTGCTTTTTAGCTTCTTTTTTAAATTTTTTTTAAAAAAAATGCAACTGCTATTTTTTAAAAATACATTCCTAAATTAGCCAAAATGATCATTTTCTTGTAAGTGAGAAAAATACAAGGAACAAAATTTGATCTTCTTTACACTTGTGCCTTTAATATTTAAACATGTAATATGACTATAATGTGGTGCTATGCTTTCCTATATCTGTTTTAACGAGTGTGAGTCATTAGAAGGGGACCATTGTGTTCCTCAGAGTATTGTAACAGTGCCTCTTTTTTGGGGGAAAAACAAAATCTTAAATGAGCTGTTATTTTTGGGAGCTAGTAGCAATTTTCATCATTATGTGTTAATGAAACTGCATTGGGACAAACAGCTGTATAGTTTCTGGCACCACCTCTGTACCAGCCCGGCAGGCTATTCAGAGAATTATTACATGACTAAAACTGGGCCTTTGGGAGAAATGGGAACAGCAGAGGGTGCTGCTACTACAGAATCCGAGCCTTATCTTTCAAAGTGTTGTCAGCATGCTCTCTATGCCTTCATTGTGTGTGGCTGTGTAAGGTTGTCCGTACGGTAAATGTTCATCGGATATATTTTTTCTATAGACAAATTAACATTTTGCGTCTTCCTGTGAAAAACTCTTCAAAGGATTGCAGATGAAATGACCCTTCAGCTGAATATTTAACCTGCTTTGTTTAAAATATTGCCGTGTCAGCATTTTGCTGGCACCAGCAAATCTTTTTAGAAAAATTAAGTGCCACACAACAAAACTGCATTTGTTCGAATGATGAAATACTTTGGAAAAAAAAAAAGTTTACAGTTTACGGCAGCATATATTCAGTGTTTACCATCAGGATAAATGATCAATAAAGTATTTCTGAATACATCATCGTGACTTTTATTTCAAAAACACTCACTGTCCACTTTTTTAGGCACACCTGTTCAGCTGATAATTAACACAAATATCTAATGGGCCAATCACATGACAACAAGTCAAAGCATTTAGGCATGTAGACATGATCAGAGGACCTGCTGGTTTTCAAACCGATCATCAGAATGGGGAAGAAAGGTGATTAAAGTGACACTGAACATGGCATGGTTGTTGGTGCCAGATGGGCTGATCTGAGTATTTCAGAAACAAGGTTTACAGTAAATGATCAGAAGATTGTGAATTTTTTCTTGGTCTGGGTAGGGTTAGAAGTGGAAAAAAAATGAAAGAAAAGAAACCATGGATCAAAACGCTCGTATCAAAGTTGCAGTCTGCTGGTGGCGGTGTGCTGTTGTGTAATATTCTGTTTGCACACTTTGGGCCCCTTAGTACCAACTTCACATCCCTTAAATGCCGCTGTCTACCTGAATACTGTTGCTGGCCATGTCGGTCCCTTTATGACCACAGTGCGCCCATCTGATGGCTGCTTCCAGCAGGACGACACACCCTGTCGCAAAGCTCAAATCACATCAGACTGGTGTCTTGAAAATGAAAATGTTATATGTACCAGATCTCATCAATAGAGCAGGTTTAGGATGTGGTGAAACCGGAGATTAACATCATGGATGTGCAGCCGAAAAATCTGCATCAACTGCGTTATGCTATCATGTCAATATGGACAGGTGAGTGTGTGTACGCCAAACATGTTCATGTCTTTTCAGACGGTGTAAAATTAAAATCCAACTGCCTAAATGTGTTTGGCACCACCATGCATTCAGTTCGCAATTCTGATTGCAAAGCTCCCGGACAGGACGTGACATAAACAAACAAACAAACACAAAACAGCATCAAACGTTGATTAGTAGATGAGCCGCGTATAACAGTAAATCACAAGTTACATTGAAATTGGGATGAAGACTAATGTTACTCCCATTCACAAACATTTTGTTACTGATTAAGTTATTCTACAGTATTAAATGTTCTTGTAATGATGGCAATACATGAAAAATTCACCGCGAGACCCCAGTGAGTATTCATCCTGATGTTGACGTTAATATCACAAACCTTCCAATGATCCAATAACATTTGAGATGTTTCTTACACCACCAAAGTGAACCTGAATGTGACAATGAATGAAAAGCAATAGAATTACTAAAATCATTTGAATACATTGCCCTGGCACTAGAAATGCTCTGAAGTCTGGTGGCAGTTCCTGTGGGAGTATAATAGGAATATAATTTTAGATGTCAAAGCAAAAACCCTCTGGTGGTGCCAGAGTTGATAGGGTTCACCAACAGCAATAGGATTCATCCTTTGGTAAGAAAAAAAAGAAAAGAAAAGAAGTCCAATCAGTCCTCTCTTAACATTTTTGATATTCAGTTTATAAAATAGCATAGGTTTCTAAAACTTGTGGCATAGGCACTTTAAAAAGATAATTTTCAACATTCACAGATTTCCATGTATAGAATAAATGTTATAATACACAATAAAAAAAGGCAATCCAACAAAATAGTAACATTACAAATATGTAAAGGTTTGACTTACGTTACAATAAAGTAGATAAATACAGGATAATGATTAGTTAAATCTCTTCACAGCTTTCATTATGTTACTTTTACATTTGCCACCTGACACTGAAGCAGATGACATTGAAATGATATCTAGGCAACACTACAGTTAGCTTTGCTCAAGTCATCTTCCTCAAATTGACATTACGAGCGTAATTATTCATTTCGGTTACACTAAATTAAATAGTTTAATTTCTAGGTAAGGTCTGACAAGGAATTTACAAAAAAGAGTTCATGTTTAACAGACTGCTCAATTATTATTTGACGAATGTGGTCCTTATTATGGAATAAGGCATGCCTGAATAACCACAGTGTGATTGCTTTAGACTGAAATAAAGTCTTTCATGAATGTTAACTCATACATTACTTAAAATTTTATAAGTTGTAAACAAGCTAGGATGATATATTCAGACCTGACTGTTGTATGATTGTTGTAATGCTACAGTCACACTTTAGCACGACTGGGATTATTGTGATGGTGTGCAATGACTTTCCGATCTTGTCTTTGAAATCATTGCTTTGACCACTTGCAGTCAGTCGCTGTCCTCAGAGTGACTTTAGTGCATCAAGTCAGTTTACTCTCAGTCTGCATCAGTTTGTGACTGATTGCTGTCAAGTTGGCAAATACATGCATGCAATCTGTGATAAATGGGAGAAAATTGCAGTTCTGTTGCCTCTCTGCATTTATGTAACAATTATTTGTAAACCTCAACCAGTCTGCTTGAGAGTGATTGCATTCAATCTGAGTCAGTCATTGATTGGAGACAGGTTGCCTCCCATCAGGTGACTTGTGCAATCGCCTTGTGGACAAATGCAGTCCTCCACAGGTTGAGCATGTTGCAACACTGAGCCTCTGGTTGCAGCAGCTACTTGCTATCGGTCATCAAACGCAAAAAAAAAAAAAAAAAAAGCAAAAAAAAAGAAAGAGCCCAATGACCAAAACCACTGACTTTTCCTTGTTGCTGTTTTTAATCTATTGTGTCTGAACTACAAGTCAGTGGTTGGTTTCCATAAGCTACTTCGTCCTAAACCTAATGAACTGTATGTATTTAACAAAAAGTTTAGGATAAAGCGATACACTCAAACTATCCAGCTCAGATAGACTACTCATTACAAATAAAGCACAACCGAACGGAAGGCAATTCATTGTGATTAAAGATTAATGGCTCAGCCCGGCACCGAGCAGCAGGTGAAAGTACAGGGCGTGAAGAGTTAAAATCCCTCGAGAGCACTGTGGAGAACAGGTCGAACATGTTGGAGGAGAGAGCAAATGAGATCTTGCAGAGAACTGAAGAGGAGTTTAGAAGTCACAGCGTTGAGTGACACGGCCATTAACTCAGATTGAGATGTTAAACACAGTGGTACTGTTCAGCTTACTGTAATGGAAAAGCCACAAATAGCCTGCTCAAGAAGAGGTCTGCGGGGGACAGTTAACTGGTTTACAGATGATTTCCTGACAAACTGTAGTAAATAATCTAACCTCTAAACAAAGCAGAGTTCATCAATAAAATCAGAAGCAATCAGATAAGATAATGGGGACATAAAGGGCTTGTTTGTCATTTGGGGAAACACTTATCTTCTTTCTGGCCAGAATCTATAGCAAACCCATGTCTGGGTGCAAAGAATAAGGCGCTGGAGTCAGAAAGGTGATTAAGCTGGCACAGGAAACAGACCAGGAGCAACTAAGGGAAAATGGCTAGCTCTGCTAAAACAATGTAAAGCTCTCAAAGTAACTAATAAACATGAGGCATACTGCTTGTTTGATCTGTGACAAACAAGTGTTTAGCCTTTATGCTATAACCTGCTAATTGCCTGCTAGCTAGCTTCACATAGCATATAGATTTGAAAGCCCTTATCTGGCTTTTTAATTAATTCAGCAGTATAAACATGTTATAATTATATGTGCACAAAAAATTTCCTGGAGACAGATTGACTCCATGTTACATGTCAACCAGATTATGATTAGACAGATAATGATGAGAAGCCTGAGGGTGGAATTTCAATAACTGGTTCTTAGAGTGAGAAGGTATTGTTGCCATGTTTTTGTACTGTGGTCGCAGATGTGATGGAAACCCCAAGAAGTGCAGTCTGAATGTTGCCCATTCACCAAAAGTCATTTGTAGGAGGTCTTTAAGGTCTTCCACATCGCCGAAGACCAGCGCTGACCCATTGAGGTCATTGCTTTTCACAATGTCGATGTACTTACTGGGGTATCGCATCCTCTCCAGCTAGAAAAAAAAAAGAAAATGTGAAACTGAGCAATATTATCCTTCCTGAAATAATTTAATTGATTTATTACATCACACTGCTTGTTTTCAGCAAAAGCCCTTCAGCGTAATTAGCCTACGTTTCAGCATTTCCCTCTATATAGCAATGTTAAATGTTTACAGTCAACCTAAGCAGGAAGGATAGTAAATGGTGCATGCAATTAAATACTCATTACACTTGGTAATTTTATCACACCAGTGTCACTGCTGTTCATTCTCTCTACATCATATCGGTGCCTTATAAAGTTCTTTCTAATGAAAATACTGCGTGCTGCAGTCAGGATTTTCAGTGTATTTATCACACGGGGTAAAGTGGTAAAAGCAAGCCTTCATTAGAAATGCTTCTGCAAAATGAGACATGTTTATTTACTGTGCTTTTTTTTAAATTTTTTACAGCATCTGAGTAATGGTACAATAAAATGAGCTATTAGGGGAAGAGCTGCAGGCAGGCAACACAACTCGAATCTTTCAGGTAAAACTCCTTTTACCCTAGCCCAGTGTCGCACCATGTGAAAAACTGAGGTTATATATGACTTGATTAAAAAAAAAGAAAAGGGGTATTTACTGACTGATTCTTCATTATTATCAAACCACAAATTTGACTGGACTATATAGGAACCAGAAAACCGTCCCAGTCCCAGGCCATCTAATACTGCCATTTTGGGGAAGTTGCTGGCATCTCATGGATTTGCACAAGATGTCCTTTGGCATGGAAAGATGGGTCTGTCACTCTAAACTCGTCACAGATGGATGCTAGGATGCAGATAATCTAACAGAATGGCTTAATGTGATGCCCTGAGATGATAAAGCATTGAACCAGTTGTCTGAACAAGTGTGTTTTCTTATGTATTACTGAAAATCAGCTGCTCAAGATGTCACGAGAGGTCAGCCAAGACTGAAATCTTACAGAACATAGCTTTTAAGGAATTTCTTACCTCTTTACATACATCCTCGGTGTTCATATTAATGATCTTTGTGATTGGCAGTGGAGCTAGGTTCCTCATCCAACCAGAATCTTTCAGCCTGGATGTCCCTCTGATGTGAGCCAGCTCATTCTTAATTGAATGATCTAGGTTCACTGTTGCTGCTTCAAATGTCTTCAAGTCTTTTACCTTGAACTGAAAATCTACTTTGAGAAGATTTTCGAACAGCTCAGCATCTCCATCCTGCTCCAGGAAGTCCTCAATCTGTCCACTCATTACATACAGCTCTGCTTGGGACACACTGAAGACTTGCCATAAGGTCTTTGAATCATAATCGCTGGGCCCAGCCTCACCATCAATATCTGCCCTTTGTTGAGCATCTTCCACACACTGGAGGATCCAGCTGAGTCGGCAGGGCCAGTGATTGGCCAGGATCACCCATGCTGCAATGTATTCTGGTTGAGGAAGCTCTAGGTTTAAGGCCTTCATGATTATCACAGTTACTCGAATAGAGTTGATCACTCTTCTCATTGACATGACATCATCTAGCATGTACTTGCTTAGATTCCTGTCATTGCTGCTTAGGATGCTTCTGATTAAGTTATCTAGTTCATCTTTTATATCCAGCATTGCTGTTTTTGTACTGATCAGAGGGTACATCTCCTTTGCTTCAGATGTAACCTTCTCTAGAGACGAATTGGAGGAATCGTAGGAATAAGTAATTTCTCTGTGTTTGACTTCAACCGTGGGAGAATCCTCTTGAATTTTTGACTTGCTACTAAGTCTGTAAAGTAAACTGCGCTTTGAATCATTGGACAGTGGTGGGACTGTGAAGGGCAGAGTCACTATGCTGTTCAGCAATGCATATGCTTTGTCCTCTTTGCTCAAGCATCCATCTGCAAAGTTCACTTTCTCTACAAGGACTTCCGGATTTACAGCAAGAATGGAAATAAATGGGCTCTCCTCATCTGAAAGCAAAATGTTCATAGCATCCAGGACTGCAACAATTTTCTTAGGAGAGCAGCGGTCCAGATTAGTGATATTCAGCACGATTCGGATCCTTCTCCTCTCGAACACTTCCATAAACTGGATGAAGCGGGACAAACACCACATTTCCATCCTGACTTCGTTCATGAAGCCCAACTGACCACTGAGCCGCTCATTGTCCATCCCTCTCTTAATGTTCAGTGTCTGGCTGAAGATGAAGTTCTTCCCCATCAGAATGATAAACTTCAGTATGCTTATTGCAGGGACCCCTAATGTGGCAATTGCCAGGCCTTCCAGCACACCCACCTGGCCATTGCTGTCATCCACCTCCTCATCTGGTTTCAGTCCAAATTTGGGAAAGCCAACCGTTAACAGGATAATCAGGATAATAAGTGGTACCACCAGAAGGGAAAGGAGAAAAAGCCACAGTGGGCAGCAGCAAATCTTCTTGGAACTCCAGTGGTTAGGACCATCCTCCACAATCTGAGTTTTTTTTTTTAAAACAAAAACAAAGCAAAATAGAGAAAAACATACATATATACACACACATTATTATCATGCTTTTAAACATGGATTCAGAGTTGCCAAATGAGGTTCATTTTCTGTACCATGAGGTCTTATATTTTGGTTCTGGGTAATATCTCCAGAACTACTGGCTAGATTGATGGAATTTGGTAAAGATATTTAAATGCCTCTATGGATCAGGTCAAAACATTTTTTGTGATTACTTTCATGAGACTCGACAGTTTACAGAACTAGTTACCTGGTCTCAAAAACCAACACACCTTTTGGTTAGCATTTTGTCTTGGAAATTCTTTCTACCAATACGGCATAGAAAAGTCTGGTTTATAGCTAACAGGCTTAACTAAGATATGACTATGTTGAACATGGTCTTTATAACATCAGAATAAAAAAGATTGTTGTTATAAACCTCCAGAATTATTGTCAAGCGGATTTTATTGGCATGTTTGTCATTATCGAGATTTATAATGGTTGAAAATGGTTAAAAGCAAAATTAAAAAAACAGTAAAAAGGATGCGCAAAGCACCCTTCACTAATGTTGTGAGTGTTGACATTGCATAGTTTGCCCAGTAGAGGGCACTCTGGAACTTGACAACACATTTTGGAATGCCACAGATACACTAAGACAGTGTTTCCCAACCTTTTGGAGCCACGGCACATATTTCACATTAGAAAAATCACACGGCACGAATTGGCTTGGTTTTATTGCCATATACTATTTTTGCTTTCTTCTGACCACCACTCATGCTAGGGCCTTAATTTGGGTCAGAATTTTCTCCTCGACCCGGGTCAGATTGTCTATTTTCTCTTTTCAAATACTTATACTTGCTCACAATACTTACAATACTTGCTATTGCACACTACATTGTCTCACTCACAGCATGACTATTTATGTAATTTCTTCTTCATCTTCTTTTGTTTTACTGGCAGTTGACAACCCATTTAATTAGAGCAGGAAATTGTACTGCCCTCTAGTGGAAGAGAATGTAATTGTTCTGCCCGTTACTCACTGCGGTCACTTAAGCTAGCTGTGTCCCAATTCAGGGTCTGTGTCACT